TTAATCATTTAAAGTAATATTTATTTTAAACAGAAACTAATATGCAAAGGAAAGAAAATAGGGGTCGATTAATTGGGGTTCACGACATCAGGAACCACCCTGTATATACTTTTTGTCACATTTAAATCAGTTGCCAAAAACTGTACAAAGCTTTAGACGTTAGATAGGGTTACACGACTGTACAGTAGTGCATTTACAAAAGGGTGCACATACCTCCAGGCTTGGAGAACGTTACTCCCATCACCAAGACTTCACCAATGCAATGGAACACAAGCCCAGAAAATGTGAGAAATTCCAACTAGCTTTTCCAAAACTTGACTAAGTATAAACATGTCTTGAAATACAAATTACAGACGCCCCATAACTTGTTTTAGTGATATGTTACAGTACTGTAAGCACTGCACTATGACCAAATCACTCAATGTGCCCGATGACGTAAAATATTGTAAACTGAGCAGGTTTGACCCTGGATAGCATTTGGACAGGTGACCAGCATGCTTATCAGGTTGTTGAAGGCTGAGGGGGGCAAGTGGTGGGCAGCAGAGGGCAGTGGAGCATAAACCCGAACTGACCAGTTTGGTGAAGTACGGTCAAATATCTTATATGACCTACTCGGTGTGGGGAGGCTCTCATCCAACAATTAATGACAAGGGGTTGTACACGTACATGTATATGTCACAGAGAAGCATAGGGCATGGACAGGCACACTTTTTTTTATTATTACGCTCAGAGGCAGAAAGAGGGATATACATGGATCACAAAACACACACAAGTTGAGACATGCAATAATTTTGGATGTGAAGAAAAATAATTGCGCTTGAGTCAGGACACGTCTATCAAGGCTTTGATGATGGCCAGTGGTTGAGAACAACAATGGAGTGGCTGTCGAAGGAAGGATAACATGCCCGACTGGGTGTCCAACGCAGGGATTGAGCAATTATGTCAGCCTGTGTGCAGAGGCTGGATATATTGTTGCATTGCGAGTCCAGGAGAGATGGTTTCAATTTAAAGGGGGGCTTCATTCATTCAGGAGTGGATAAATCATGGCGAATGATGACAATGATTGATTGGACAGTTGAATATTGCAGTATACCACAGCAAGACAATAATGGTTTTTAAAAAATTTCAGCTGATAGAAAAAGGGCTGCATTTTATAAATACTACATTTTTTATTCTTAAAGTATGGTATGTTTTGGAACTTCATCTGAAGGGTTGCGTTGGGCTATGTACTGGTGGTAGATGCATTGATGCAGGAGTGTTCTATAAAGCCACTCTGTACATATACAGTATTTGTTATGTAAACCAGAATAGCGATAGAGTAGTGGCGATGGTGGAGGGTTGCCGTGGTGATGGTGTTTGGGGGCATTGTAATAGTGGTATAGGCTACAGAATTGTGGACCAGTGGTGGGCTAATGAGTGAGTTTGGTGGTTGTATAAGACGTCTAACCCAAAGAAAACCTGTATTATGCATGATATTGGTCGCGAAAGCCTACGTGTTAAACTGTATAAGTTGTGTTGGTTAGCTCGCGGTAGCAGTGGTGGTCATGCTAGAGGCTTAGTGATGCTACAGTGACTGCTAAAAACTAGCCATGGCGTGGTTATTGAGTGTGCAGGTGGTGCAACTGCATTGAGGTCTATGGGCCGAACAAGTCCAGGCATTGGGCTAAAAATATGGGGAAAAATAACGGGAGGTGGAGCAATTTCATTCCTTGCACCACAGCTCATGCCAACCACACCACGCCACTGGATGGTAGTGGTGGTGTTGTAGCCTAATGGTGGTGGTATAAGTCAAGGGCTGTTGTGGTAGTGTTAAAGTAGTAAGAGTTTGGGAAAAGGTGGATGATTACATTTGTGTTTTTAGTGTTGAAGCGGGTGTTTATGAAACGCATGGAGGATTATGAGACTCGATGCGGTGGTGTTGGATCTGATGATGATGGTGTTCGTGGTAATGTTGGATGCCGAGAGGATTTTTAGTGATGATGTTTGGGATGGTAGCAGTACTGGTGGTATGTTACTGAATCTGCAGGAACTTGCATCACAGAGCTACCAGGGCCCTGTTTATCTACCTCGGCTATCAGAAAACCAGAGCAGAAGTGACCCATCCCAGGACCTCTCCTCCCCTTATACATCGATACATACAGGCACACAGTCCCCCAGCCATCACTACCAAAATGCCCGACCATATTAAATATACAGCACGGTATGTTATTGTTCTCATTAAAACCCTAATATGGATGATGTATTCTTTTCGTCGGCCCTGGCCCCTCTTCCGAGTTTTGGGCCCTGGGCCAAACCTACTGCTTGATCTTGTTTAAAAGGTGGGGAGGGATGGCACAGCAGTTGGTGATAAACTTTCAACAAACGTTAAATGCGTCAATTGTGAATTCTGAAAAAAAAAGCCAAAACTAATGATTCGTTTTATTGTGCCGTTCAGACAAATTGCATCTTACAATCACTGAGGAACCACAGGCGAGTTTGAAGGCTGCCGGCCAGTGAACCCTATGCCAACAAATTGCTCTGCAGTTCTCTATATATTGAGATGTTTTTTTTGCCAATTCGTGAGCGTTTATACACGTGGGAAGAGATCGGAGCACCGGGAGAAACCCCACACACGTGAGGGGGGCAACACTATATATCTCTAGAGCTCATCCCCTATTAAAACGTGGAAAGGCTGAGACTCATTTCTTTAACGGAGCATTTTTTGTTACTTTAATATAAGACTTTGGGGGGGGGGGTGGGCTGAGTCTTCAGCAGTGTTCTTGCTTGGCCCCCCAAATACAAAATCCGACCGTAAATATTGCTGAAAGCAGAGCCGGTTGATTTGAAATATCGTAAAAGGAAAATTAACATGTGAGCAATACTACCACTCTGTGCGTCTCCATCGCCCTCCAGGGCCTTCCAGAGCAACATTATCCCGGCAGATAGTGTCAGCAGAGCAATGACGGCGAGTCTGTCTCTGTGTGTTTAAGATATTCCGTGCGCTACGAAACCCGGCCACCCGATTTGGATTCCCGCTCACGGCCACCATCAGTGGCGATTATCTGAACCGTAACTGGGCCTCCCCTAGGTCGACTCGGCCTCAAATGAGTGCCTGGTGCGGCGCGTGGTAAACATCACCACTGGGAGAGACAAAGGCGGCCGGGTGTGGAGCTGGCCACCCCCGGTCGTGCACCGTGCCGGCCTTCGTAGGCGGTACTCGCTAACAGCACTTGCCCCAACCAGTCTGTAAAGGCTACACGGGGAGGGGGGGAGGGATCCTTTGTCTTTGGTGTGGAGAGCTCCCATGTGGATGGAGGAGGATGGAGGAGGAGGAAGAAGAGAGAATGGGGGGGGGGGGTGGGAGGAGAATGGGGGGGGGGGAGGAGGATGGAGGAGGAAGATAAAATGGGGGGGGGGGAGGAGGAAGGAGGAGGAAGAAGAGAGAATGGGGGGGGGAGGAGGATGGAGGAGGAGGAAGAGGAGGAAGAGAGAATGGGGGGGGGGGGAGGAGGATGGAGGAGGAGGAAGAGGAGGAAGAAGAGAGAATGGGGGAGGAGGAGGAAGAAGAGAGAATGGGGGGGGAGGAGGATGGAGGAGGAGGAAGAAGAGAGAATGGGGGGGGGGGGGGGGAGGATGGAGGAGGAGGAAGAAGAGAGAATGGGGGGGGAGGAGGATGGAGGAGGACGAAGAGAGAATGGGGGGGGAGGCGGCGGGAGGAGGAGGAAGAAGAGAGAATGGGGGGGGAGGGAGGAGGAAGAAGAGAGAATGGGGGGGGGAGGATGGAGGAGGAGGAAGAAGAGAGAATGGGGGGGGGGGGGAGGAGGATGGAGGAGGAAGAAGAGAGAATGGGGGGGAGGAGGATGGAGGAGGAGGAAGAAGAGAGAATGGGGGGGAGGAGGATGGAGGAAGAAGAGAGAATGGGGGGGGAGGAGGATGGAGGAGGAAGAAGAGAGAATGGGGGGGGGGGAGGAGGATGGAGGAGGAGGAAGAAGAGAGAATGGGGGGGGAGGAGGATGGAGGAGGAAGAAGAGAGAATGGGGGGGGGAGGAGGATGGAGGAGGAAGAAGAGAGAATGGGAGGGGGAGGAGGATGGAGGAGGAGGAGAGAATGGGGGGGGGGGGGGAGGAGGAGAGAATGGGGGGGAGGAGGCTGGAGGAGGAGGAAGAGAGAATAGGGGGGGGGGAGGAGGATGGAGGAGGAGGAGGAAGAAGAGAGAATGGGGGGGGGGGAGGAGGATGGAGGAGGAAGAAGAGAGAATGGGGGGGGGAGGAGGATGGAGGAGGAAGAAGAGAGAATGGGAGGGGGAGGAGGATGGAGGAGGAGAGAATGGGGGGGGGGAGGAGGAGAGAATGGGGGGGGAGGAGGATGGAGGAGGAGGAAGAAGAGAGAATGGGGGGGGGGAGGATGGAGGAGGAAGAGAGAATGGGGGGGGGGGGGGGAGGAGGATGGAGGGGGAGGAGGAAGAGAGAATGGGAGGGGGAGGAGGAAGAGAGAATGGGGGGGGGGAGGAGGATGGAGGGGGAGGAGGAAGAAGAGAGAATGGGGGGGGGGGGGGAGGAGGATGGAGGAGGAAGAGAGAATGGGGGGGAGGAAGAAGAGAGAATGGGGGGGGGAGGATGGAGGAGGAGGAAGAGAGAATGAGGGGGGGAGGAGGATGGAGGGGGAGGAGGAAGAGAGAAGGGGAGGGGGAGGAGGAAGAGAGAATGGGGGGGGGGGGGAGGAGGATGGAGGGGGGAGGAGGAAGAAGAGAGAATGGGGGGGAGGAGGATGGAAGGGGAGGAGGAAGAGAGAATGGGGGGGGAGGAGGATGGAGGAGGAAGAAGAGAATGGGGGAGGAGGAAGAAGAGAGAATGTGGGAGGAGGATGGAGGAGGAAGAAGAGAGAGGATGGGGGGGGGGAGGAGGATGGAGGAGGAAGAGAGAATGGGGGGGAGGAGGATGGAGGAGGAGGAAGAGAGAATGGGGGAGGAGGAAGAGAGAATAGGGGAGGAGGAGGGAGGAGGTTTCGCTGAGGGAGGAACGAGCAACGGGGTTGGGGGGTGTTTCAGCATCCAGCCACGGGTGGAGGGAGGACACAACGCCGGCAGCTGCTGGCAGGACACGAGTGTGCAGGCGCAGAGAGACAGAGAGAGAGACAGAGAGAGACAGACGGACAGACAGGGAAGCCAGAAGGACACAGGCATGGCAGGGTGCGGGGGGCACCGGGCCCTGGTCGCCCTGGGGGAGCTGTGCGACCCCGGGCAGCTTCACGCTGCCCTGGCCGACGTGGAGAGCGGTGAGATTGGGGGGGTGGTGTGTGTCAGGGACCCCCACGAACCCTCACTAACCAACCCCCAGTGTTGTGTGTGTGTCTGCGAGTCCTATTAAAGGACGCGTGTTGGTGTGTTACCCCCTGCCGCGTTAAGGTTGTGTAACCGAGAACGTTGGACTTGCACGCCTACACTAACAATACACATGTACAACCACCCTATTACTTCACTGTACGCAGCACCGTATGCACACTGTGTAATGATCCAACAATGTTTTGCGAGCAACCTATAATGTCATCTGTTGTGGGGGGGGGGCATTGCAAACACGCATACTGTACCGTGTACACAAACAGTATAGACAATGTTACTGTATAAGCGAGTTGCTCGTTGTATAAAGACTGTATATTATAGACTGTATGTTATAGACTGTGTCGGTGTGGTGTTTGCTTTGTTGTATAAAGACTGTATTATAGACTGTATGTTATAGACTGTATGTGTGTGGTGTTGCTTGTTGTATAAAGACTGTATATTATAGACTGTATGTTATAAACTGTATGTGTGTGGTGTTGCTTGTTGTATATAGACTGTATATTATAGACTGTATATTATAGACTGTATATGTGTGGTGTTGCTTGTTGTATATACTGTATATTATAGACTATATTATAGACTGTATGTGTGTGGTGTTGCTTGTTGTATATAGACTGTATATTATAGACTATATTACATACTGTATATTACATACTGTATGTGTGTGGTGTTGCTTGTTGTATATACTGTATATTAAAGACTATATTATAGACTGTATATGTTTGGTGTTGCTTGTATATACTGTATATTATAGACTGTATATTATAGCCTGTATATTATAGTCTGTATATTATAGGCTGTATGTGTGTGGCGTTGCTTGTATATAGACTATATTATAGACTGTATATTATAGACTGTATATTAAACACTATCTGTGTGGTGTTGCTTGTATATAGACAATATTATAAACTGTATATTATAGACTGTATGTGTGTGGTGTTGCTTGTTGTATATAGACTGTATATTATAGACATATATTGTAGACTATATTATAGACTGTATATGTGTGGTGTTGCTTATATATACTGTATATTATAGACTGTATATTATAGACTGTATATTATAGTCTGTATATTATAGACTGTATGTGTTGTGGGTGTTGCTTGTATATAGACTATATTATAGACTGTATATTAAAGACTGTATCTGTGTGGTGTTGCTTGTATATAGACAATATTATAGACTGTATATTATAGACTGTATGTGTGTGGTGTTGCTTGTATGTTATAGACTGTATATTATAGACTATGTGTGTGGTGTTGCTCGTTGTATATAGACTGTATATCAGACTGTATATTATAGACTGTATAATATAGACTGTATATGTGTGGTGTTGCTCGTTGTATATTATAGACTATATTATAGACTGTATGTGTGTGGTGTTGCTTGTATATAGACTATATTATAGACTGTATATTATAGACTGTATATTATAGACTGTATGCGTGGTGTTGCTTGTATTTGATAGACTGTATATTATAGACTATATTATAGACTGTATATGTGTGGTGTTGCTCGTTGTATATTATAGACTGTATATTAGACTATATTATAGACTGTATATTATAGACTGTATATGTGTGGTGTTGCTCGTTGTATATTATAAACTATATTATAGACTATATTAGACTATTATAGACTGTATATTATAGACTGTATGTGTGTGGTGTTGCTTGTATATAGACTATATTAGACTGTATATTATAGACTTTATGTGTGTGGTGTTGCTCATTGTATGAGTACCTGGTGCGCTGTGTGTAGTGAACATCGCTACCGGGGGGAGACAAAGGCGGCCGGGCGTGGTTGCTAAACCCCCCTTCACGTGTGCCGTGGGGGGCCTTAATAGGTGCTCGCTAACAACACTGGCCACAACAGTCTTGTCACATTCAACACAGGGTGGGGGGGGGGGTCTGTCTTTGTTCTAGATTGTAGTGCCGCTGCATGAGACGACAATGGTTTGCGAGCGCCTATTAAGGTAACAAATCCATTGCGTGGAGTGTGTTGCATCTGTTAAATGTTGGCGTGGCACAACGCAGTCGAGGCTCCAACATTGTGACTTGTCTATGCCGTAAAGTTACTGTACAGTTATTGTATGAAGAGTTTGCTGTGCGGGGTGTAAAGTGCTGTTTACGAGCACCGATTTATTAAGGTGGTGGTCTATTACACGAGGTGTCCGTGGTAATGTCACCGCTTCAAACACAAACACACACATACACACACACACATACTAGACTCGCAGATTCATTTAATTTAGACTGGCATCTATTTACAGTACTGTTCAGACTTTGTTGTGTGTGAGATGGGCTCGTAAAGACGACGGTGTGAATGGGGAGGGAGTCTACGTGCTGTAGGTGACGACGAGAGGCTGGGAATTTATCTTGTGTTCGCATTGCTGCACGTTGTGTAGAGTTTGTATTAACATTAACGTCTTTCGGCGCTTAAGTTATTGCATTTAATGGGCATTGTTTTTTATCTGCATGCGCGTCAGCGGTTAAGGTTTCGAAGTAAACTTTGAAGTTTTTTTGTGTGTGTGTCCTGGACATTGAGAGTAAAGTGTTCTCAACTTTTTGACCGTGTTTACACAAAGCGTTCTAATGCGTACATATGGGCATTAACATCGCGTGCAATAGCAAATGCCTTTCTGTCTGTGTGGTGTTTTATTCTATGCTTTTGTTCAGTACTGTATGTAGTGAATGTATTTTAGCACGTGTGTGTGCGTGTTCCAGAACACAACAGCACAAGCATGTGTTTCGTGTCGAAGTTTCGTGTTCGCAAAACTTTAGTGTATATATAAACAACCACAAACAATGAAACGCGCCCAGCAGCGTAGTGTCACTTTTTACGAAAGTGGCTTTAAAATAAACGCGAGGAATTTTTTTTTATCCCCCCCCAAAAAATAAAGTCGCTTTGAAAGTTGCGCGTAAACCACCACCACCTGCCCACCCACCTAAACTTTTATTGGGACTTAAAACACCTAAACTTGTATTGGGACTTAAAACACCGTGTTTTTTTTGTTTGGGTAAGTATTTTGTTTGTTTATCGCACCAAGTTGGTTACGTTGATGAATGGGCCACACTCTTCCTCCTCGTCGTCGTCTTCCAAAGCAAGGCGATCGCTGCTGGGCCCGTTGGTTTGTTTTGTATTTAAACAGCCGCCGCCACTGCTGCTGCTGTCAACAATGGGAGAAGCCAAATTGAGTGGTTACAGAGTGGTGGTGGTGGGAGACACCGATACATAGGGCCGGGGGTGAGAAAGGGGCCGCCCTCTCGACATCCATCCCGGTTCAACAAGAGCCACCACCATCATCATCAGCATCATCATCAAACCACCAGGCACAAACTTCCCCCCGCCGCATCCCTACAATCAGGGCTTTAATTCATTACTAATCATAACCATTGACTGATTACCAATCGATTATATAATTACAATACCCCCCCAACCTCCGCCTCAAATCACTGCACCTGAATGAGTTAAATGATGACCTTGCTGCTGCTGCTCTTCTATTTAAGCCCGGGAGCAAGTGGAGAGGGCTTTACCATTCTGGCGAATTGCCCGATCATGCTGGATGTAATTACCAGCGAAACGTCGTACTCAAATTTTAAAGGATGTTGATTCACTCTTCAACACACCGGTGGGATAAAGTAGTGAACTATTTGTCCTTTGTAAAACGTGACACATTTTTTACTGTTTGGCCGTGTCGGGTGGTGGAGGGTTACGACACATTTATAAATAACGCGATCTGACCCAAAAAGCTTTTTTTATGAATAATATTGGTCGCGAAAGCCTACGTGTTAAACAGGGCTTTAATTTAATGGATCCTTTATAATTGGGATGCACCCTTATGGATAAACGCGCGCGGGTTTGCCCTGGGTGGTGGGCTTTTTAGAATCTCACTGGTAGAGTAATATTTTGAGAAGGGCAGCTGATTTTATGAACGTATGTTGAACTTCTTTCGCACCGTACGTAGCCAATCGTGCCTATCGGAGGTGCCTCACTGAGCCTCACGACTCTTTCATTGCAATTATAAATCGCGTGCGTTGCGAATCCTTTTCCTTTTTCCATTCTGGTTTGGAGAAACTAAATTTTTGCGGTAGACGTTTCCTACCGTCTAATGTACAGGACTTGAATTGGCACATATGCAGTGTTATCCAAATGATAAGCCACAGTTTTTTTCTCTACTGCACTTTAAAGTACAAGTTTGTAGCCGCATCTTATAGGCTGGAGGGTACGTGTGTGAGATGTGATCAGATGTGTGGCATTTTATTGACGCAGGGCACAACGCTTGGGCATGCTTGTTACTTTCTGGAGCATCTTATAATTTTCATTATATGGTAAGTCACCAAGGAAATAAGAGTATTAGTCTTATGTAGCCCATTAGACCTTATTGTTTGTACTTTCATGGATTACCTTTTTATTCATTCCTAAAGTTGATGTTTGGCTGTGCAGACCACTTTGCCAGTGAACTCAATGGTTTTCATATAACTGGTGCAACATGCACCTTGTGCTCCTCGAGTGAAAATCAATCAGTTGATCAATCAAGACCATCATTCACAACTATGTAAATCCCCATTGAGATGAAGTATTTGATTGGAAGGTGTGGCACACAACCCAGGTAATAATTTATCAGTAAAAGCCTCACTGAGCCTCAAGACTCGTTCTGAAGTGCCTTGAATGTTTGCTTGAGTATTTGTGCACATGGGAGGAAACTGGAATGCCTAGGAGGGGTAAAAAAAAAAACTAGGCAAAAAAGCGTATAATGCTCAATCCCAAATTAATAGGTCATACACCTACAGGTATATCGGTGCCCTCTAGAGGTGTGTGTCACGCACAATGCATCAAATGTATGTTGCAGGCAAAACAACGCTATGTGAAATCATGTACATCAAAATAATGAATGCACTAATAAATCATGATGTGTCCGGCAGCAATCTCCCCACGGCATAATGGCATTTATCAAACAAGGAAGCCACTCTCAGTCTCAAGAATATTTTTTTACTTCAGCAGAATCCTGCAGTGGAATGTTTGGCCAATTTTATCCATCAATACGCATTGCGTGTGTGAGAAAAAAAATGGGGGAACTTCGAGAATATCCATGCATACAAAGGGGGTAATACTCAAACTTATACCAGGATAGAATTAAGAATCCATTGATTGAATGCTATGATTGACTCCCACTCCCCTACTCTCTTTTGAGTTTCATATTCATATATAAGTATATAAAGTGCAAACATATGAATATGTTAACAGATATTACCTGGTATGTTGAAGTATTTATGGATTGCCATTTGTATGGCTCAGAATCGCTTGACTGTTATTAGGCTAGGCTGAATGGGAACAATGTGCCCCGCCCCTATGCGTTGGGTCAATTTTGGCCATTTCACTAAGCACATGAGTCCTGCCTACACAGGCAACTTGCAAGCAGATACAAGTGGCCTTCCTAGTGAAAGCCCTTCCACAGGTGGAGATTGCTAAGAACGTATGAAGTGAAAGGGACAGTTGTGTTTTTGATTGTGGGCTGGCAAGCTAACGCTTGAGTATCCTGCAGCTGTTGTGACAGCTCTCATTGGCAAGTAAATGCCATTGGAGTGCTATCTGCCTGGTCTCTGTCGCCTGTCTTTTCAAGTCGTATCTATTTACTGAATGGGAGCAGATGGCTGCAAATGTCTGTTTGATATACCGAGTCTGTGCTGTCTTTATTTAGCTCATTATTTGAATCACTTCCCTACCTCCTGTTGATGGCTAATGATTCACGGTCTGTAGTTCCATGCGCTTTTTTCCTCTTATTATTTTGGTAATGCATCATTGATTCAACATTTTTTTTTCCTGGTACGTGTATTGGCCCATTACATTTTTTGGCTCATTCAATGATTGCAGGACGCTATTAATTTTTTCAACAACTGAAAATCTGTTGCTCTTTTCCATATTTCCCCCACACTTGCAAGGCCAGTCCACTTGACTTGCGCACACTCTCTCTCTGGTCGCTGCCAAACGCTTGCCTGTCACCCTCACCCATTATCCGCTCACTGACTCATTCCCTTACTACTCTGTGCCTCTTACCGTGCTTTCTCCCCTGACTGCTTATTCTCGAGATATCTCTTTCAACACTTTTTTTTATAGCGGGTGATTGTTTTTGACTCACCCACTTTATAACCAACGCTTCACAAGTCTATTTGTAGATGTTACCACAAAAAAGCTGGTATTGTTGTGGGATATTTTTGCGGACAAAGTAATCGAGCACCCAATGAACCGTTAACTGTAGTTAAAAATCCGATGTGGTTTTCTCTAAAATACTATTTCTGTACCCATGATAACCACAATAGGCCTCTTGTAACTTTGCTGTATATTTTATAAATCGGAAAATTAGCATTTTTTTATCACCTGGGCTTTCTGTATAAAAAGCTTTGGAATGAAGCAATTTATTTATAAAAAAGTGTAATGCTGTTTGGTTTGTCAGGATGATCATGAAACAAATATCATATGCTGTATTTAATAACACAGAGATTATGTTTAAATGTTCATTACCATTTATACCAAAAATGAAGTGTCGATTGTGCACAATATACCGGCGTTACAAAATGAATGCTTTATGCTATGTACAGTGGACGGACAAAACTCCATGGCCATTTTAGTGAGCAGCTAATTCGTGCGTTTGGTGTGTTTATACAAGTGGATTGGAGATTACTCACAGCTGGCGCACACTTGGATAGTCAGATGGCCCCTCTCTACTCACTGGGAGCTGGCTCTTCAGCTCTGTAACCCAGCCCGCGTATACGCGCAGATTCTCGGGCAAACACACACCTCACTGTTGACTGTTGAGACATTCGTCATAGTGTCACATGTGGCTGGATAACAGTGGTGGCCTGTGTTTTAGTCTTCTAAAGCAAAAACTGCAAATGATTTGCAATGCTGCCGAGCCACATGTGTGAGAGAGTGGTTGCATTTTATAACGTGTTTTTTTTGTTCATGCGGTCTGGTGGCAGGGCAGCATTAGAGGTCGCGTTGTTGTGCAGTAAATTCCAGCGTCACTAGTCCAGTAGTTCATTCAGCGCCAGAGGTCGAGAACCTTGTCCTTACCGAGGGTCGAGTGTTACTTTCGAATACCCTTGGCGGGCGACACAATAACGCATATACTGGACATCTCCGTCACTTCTGTCGCTGCATTGACAGAAGTGACCGATCATGCTAAAATTATAAACACGTATCCAGGTTAAAAATATCTCCCCCCCCCCCACCCAGGAACTGATCTGTGCTGCTTTTAGGTGCTTGCAGTGAAGGATAAATATTGTTTGCAGCCAATTTCCAGAGTGGTACGCCTTCTGCAGCCATTGGTCATATGAAATGAAGTTGAGGGCCATATCTGGTCCTAGGATTGTAGGTTTTCCACCCCTCGTTTAAAGCATGACACTATATTTTGCATAGCTATTGCATCTCACAGCACACTGTGAGTTTGATGGAGAAATTGACGCAGCTGTTTGGTCTGCTTGCGGATTGTATATATCCCACGACACCATTTTCAAGACTGGGCTATTTGTGTGTCCATTCCATGGCCAGAGACTCCTGCCAAGTAAAAAAAAACAGGCTGTCCTTGTAAGCGTGCTGTATGATGGGTAAAACCAACGGAGGATAAACACATGCTAGAGACAAACATGGTAAATATAAGAAAGCAGCAATAGTGCATTACCATTTGCAGAATTTTATGCCATATTATACTTGGAACTTACACGCATAGAAACACACGCATATACAATGCCATGACCGTGCTGAACTTAATTGATGCTAATAACATTTGACAGATTATATGTTTGGGATTGCTGTCGCCACTGCAATAACAACATTGGGAGTGTGTATAATTTACAATTAATCGCGGGCAGTTTTCCACCGTAATTACCAAACACTTTCATTACATTATAAATACAGTAAATGAACTGCTTTCCGAAGTCTCAGCCCATAGTTCCTGCAACAGTGAGTGGTACAATGGCCCGCAAGCATGTTGGCAAGTAAATTATTACTTTAAGAAGCAATGAAGAACTGAGGATAGGTTCCACATATACATTGAGTACCACTATTGCGGGACATCAACAGTTGGTGTGTATGGAAATACTGGTCACCACCATAGGAATGTGGCCCTGCCGCCACTGACTGAAGACCACCAGTGGAGAAAATCAATTTCCAACACTTGTATGACTATAGCAATACATTGACTTTAGATTTTGAAGAAGTGGTAACCCATGCGATGTTAGTTCTTATCTGTTTTCTGTGGTTCGTGTGATAGAGCTGATGACCATTCACTCTGCAGCGTAGTGGTAGATACTGACTTGTACAATTAACTACTGGGCACAGATTAACCATGCTTGTAGATTAACCGCGCTTCCCGAAAAGAGAACCAAATATCTTTAAGCTCACAGTAGTTCTGTGACTAGCTGCTCCTCACTCATCGAGTCTCACTGACACGTGGCCATATGACCCACAAACGTATCAGAAAGTAAATTATTAATTTCAGAAGCAATAAAGAACTGAGGACCGGTTCTAAGTATTCACCTTCAATGTATGTCGGTCAACAACCGCATAATACATTTTTTTACATTGTGATTTTGTTGTATCCTGGCCACCGCGGATGATCGAGAGTTGACGCTGTGTGGCAGTGCATGTGAGCGCGATGAGTGAGGGGCGGCCCTCGTCACAGTGCTGTTTCTGTGGTGTCCCGTCGTAGGTCTTCGCTCGTGGGCCGTGGATCCCGCTGTCTGTGATCTTGATCAGCAGCTCAAGCTTTTCATCTCCCGACACTCGGCGCGCTCCTCAGCGCAGGTCAAAGGTCAGTGGGAGCAACCGGCACGCGTTTTACATATCAAAGGGCCAAAAGCATTCCCCAGATCGTCTTTATTAAAAAGGCCGTGCCATGTGTTTTGCTGGTGTAGTTGCGAACGCATGTAGGGGTGTGTGTTTTTTAAAATTAGTACAATTTCTATGACGGGTTTTATTTCGTGTAATAAGAGGTATGACGAAAGCAATTTTGGGGGTTTGGCATTCATATTCTCTATTTCCTGCAAATAATATTCCATACAGAATTTAATGTTCTAGATTTGAAGCTTTCGTGACTGCAAGGATTCATACTCTTTGGTTTTATTTGGTGAAGTCACGTAGATAAAATAAAACAAAATAAAATAAAAGAAAATCATTAAATCACGACGTTTCGGAGGCAACACAAGCTTCCGTCTTCAGGTGGAAAAGTCAACGCAGAATATCTGATATTCTGCGTTGACTTTCTGCATTGACTTTTCCACCTGCAGACGGAAGCTTGTGTTGCCTCCGAAACGTCGTGATTTAATTATTTTCTTTTATTTTGTTTTATTTTATCTACGTGACTTCACCGAATAAAACCAAAGAGTAAGAATTTAATGTATTGATGATGATAAATATAATTAATGCACAGGTAGAAGAAACTACAAATTCGAGTTGAACGATGGCATCGTGGTTTACGCACTGCGCTGAGAACCTGGTGACCCGAGTTCGATTCTCAGCCCCAGCTGCTACCATCATTGATGATTGATATTGGAACCGTTCCTATGCACCCCCTACATCAACCCGCACTGACCAACGTGGCAAAATATGGTCAAACAATACTCACGACTGAACGTGGAGACTGCTTCATCCAGCAGTGGATTGTTAAAGGTCTCTAAATTATTATTATTTAAAATACTGTTCTAAAATTTGATTTATTATTTCTTTAGGAACATTATTTATCTTGACAGACAAAACTCTCATAAAACAGGAATTTTGAATAAAAAGGATCTAATCACCATCAGAAATGTCATTCAATTGTCCAAATCATGCCATGCTTTATGGAACACAGGATTATCTGCCTTTTAATCCCTAGATTCCCTACGGTATAAAATTCCTCCATATGTGTGTCGCCACAGGCATTGCCAAGCTCATTTTAACGTGTGCAGCTTCTGATCGCTGCTTACATTGTAGTTTTGCTAACGTTGGATGCATAGCTCCTGCCAAAGTGGTTCATGCGTGGTAAATTTTGTCAAAGTGTAGTCCTTGTAACAATGAGGCCAAAAATACAGTAATACAAAATCACAGAGCATATAATTGCCTTAGAGAGCATGTTAATGGTCCGTCTCATAATATGTTGTAAGTAGCTCTTAGTGGGGGGGAGGTGTGGATAGAGCCTGGATTTGTTTAGGGGTGGGGGCGGACGGGATTAGTGCTGTCTGGTTCTAGTTGACAATTCTAGACAGTGGTAGCTGTTGCCTTGAAAAGCCCTCTCCCAATGTCTCCCCAGTTGCAATTATCTGAGCTCCGCTGGGCACTGTGGTGCCAGTGAAGCGCTGTCCTGCCCGTGTATAACAACTCCTGAAACATTTGGCATTCACAAAATGGGCGGGGAGGTGTTGGCGTTGGAGCGCTTGACTGTGTTGCGAACGCACTGATTAAAGTGCCAAAACTAATTCGATTAAGGGATTAACGTTTTTAAATTCTGCAAATAAATAAAATGCAATCAAATCGATGCCATTTGACTCGGTTTAAATATCTTAGTTTAACACGTAGGCTTTCGCGACCAATATTATTCATAATAAAGGTTCTTGGGTTAGATCGCGTTTATTTATAAATGTGTCGTAACCCTCCACCACCCGACACGGCCAATCAGCAAAAAAAGTGTCACGTTGACAAAAGACAAATAATTCACTACTTCAGCCCACCGGTGTGTTGAAGAGCTAATCCACATTTACAGTTTGAGTACGACGTTTCGCTGGTAAATACTTCCAGCATCATCGGGCTAATATCAAATATGGCTCAATGAAATAGCCCACCTTACTGGATGTTTTTGGGCCAATGTGCTGAATGAAGGTTGTCAATGCATGTGGTCTAATATGGAATTTGTATGCAGCCTGATTATTTAATGCTTTGTTTCAACTCCTTGCCTGAAGGTGTGGGGCCCCATTTCCTTAAGTACACAATGCCTTTGTGCTGAGCGTCTCAGTTTTCAGCCCTCCACAGTAGTCGTACTTTAGCCCGTCGCACAGCCACTGTTTTAGTGTCTACAGTTGTCGCGAGTTGAGGCAGTTAAGACAGAGTTGGTTGACGAAGGTGGTACATTTTTATTTTTACCATTTTAACCAAAAATGTCACGGCAACCTAATGGGTTTAACGCAAGCACACTGGAGCCGCTGTTCATTAACATTACAAACAGCAGCTACAATTGCCAATTGTGCTTGCCTGTTCCCCTTTTTATAAAAACCCTGGCTGTGCCCATGTGTGCTATGTCAAGGCAGGACCTGAAGACGTGAAGGAGAGGCTCTGTCAAAGCAACTGCTTTCACGCTGTAACGTCCAGACGTGGTCTCGTGTTCCTTAGCTGCTTTCCCCTTTGTTAGTTACGGCCGTGTGAAGTTACTGTTCCTCGTTGGTTTTATGTTTGAAACTAAGCTGGCAAATGAAATTAATATTTAAAAAATTAGTTTTTGGTTTAAGTCTCTACTTTGAAATCCTCTGTGTGTGTGTGTGTATATATTGGGAGAGCGATAGTGCCCTGATTAGCTGCACTGCATTATCAACTCGGCGACCCAAGAATGATTCCTGCCCATGGCCAGTATCGGTGACGAATATTTGAATCGGTCTTAGGCTGTCCATAGTGTAACCATCAATACTAGGGGAGACATATGTGGCCAGGTATGGTTCTGGCCACTCATCCCCTGACGCCGTGTTTGCCGTCATAGGTGCTCGCTAACAGAAGTGGCGAGATGGAGTGATAAGCTTCGCAAGAACATGTGTGATGTGATTTAGGGAAGCCTTTATCCAGTCGTGTATAGGCCTTGCCTGATGGTGGGATTTTCCAACCTACCTATAACCTTCATTTCCGTGTGCACATATTAGACTGGCATTTTATCCGTGTTTTCCCAATATTATTTGTCTCTTGTGAGATGGTCCAATTATCTTGGGTTTCATCTGTTTACGGAGATGTCCACGTAACTATCTACACTGAAGACTTCCGGTGACCATGTCACTTATCTTATTTAAATGTAACCCTCTACTCCCTCTTAACTGTAAAGGAGAGCTATTCTCCAAAATATGAGGCTGTTATCTATATTTCTGTTCTTAGCTAGTGTTATGACAAATGTGGTGAGTGTCTTGTTATTTGTCATATGCGTGAGAAAACTCACGCATATGAAGGGGTCATGCGTAAAGCTTCATACAGAGACAACCACGTAACATCATCTGTCAATGTGCACTATTTTTTTACCTGCGTATAACTTAAAAAAAAATCAAATCAGAGGGGGTGGGATTCAAGTCTGGTGTGTGTTTGGTATTGTATGTCGCAGTATCGTGCATTGTAAAATGCAGTGGGTAACCATCCTCCTGTACATGGAATGGCAACAGCCCAGTTTCCCAGTGGCTGTGGGAACGAGGCATTCGAGGCACTAATAGTGGCCCCAGTGTTAGCGGCTACCACAAAGCACAAATACTCTGCGTGCCTAATTGAGTGCGTTTTATAATTTCGTCAAGATGTTGGTTGAACTCGTAACACACGTGTTAAAGTGAGTAAATACATATATTCAGGAAAAGGTGTTTTTCTTCCCATAAATGAAAGGCTACACTGTGCACAAAAATGTATTTTATTTCATTCACATTTGTGAACATACGTGCATTTACTGAATATTTAATGCTGATAATATAGTATTTCTATATGCTACTGAGTGCATGTCTCTGCTTATAGTGCTTGACTCGCAATTAGAAGTTTGTGAGTTCTAATCGCGATGGATCATTCTGCGCCATCATCCTTCTGGGGTTGCTAAAATAGGCATTGCTTTGTGAAACAATTAAATGTTTTTCATTCCACAGCTCGCATCGGTGATGAATAATATGTGAACCGGTCTTTGGAGTCCAAATTATCCAAGCGACCCTTGATGATTGACTTAGGATGGGGATGTATGTATGTTGAACTTCTTTCGCACCGTACGTAGCCAATCGGACATCTTCACTCTTAGCTCACTGGTCTAGGGATGCCTTCTTCATCCAGCAGTGGCTTGCCTCAGGGCTTGTACATTTGTATGCACACACATGGACACAACAAATCTGCACTTTGTGAAATTCCTCATCTCGGCCTCATCAATCCTCCAAAATCCTCACCCTGCCATAGCAAAATTAAAGCCTTGGATTTTTCTTACTCTGCATCTTTAAAGTGAATAATATGCGTGTCCCTTGGGGCTGCACATTTTTCAAAATAAAATGACATCTTGTCACTTGGCCTTACATATGTAGTGACATCACTGGATGTCAACTTTCTGGGTGCAGTGCCGGCCCTAGAGGGGCACGGCGTGCGGTGTAGCGACATCGCGGATACCACAGTGGTGTGGGTGTAGTACCAGCCTTCGAGGAGCCCTGTGAGTGCTGAATGAAAGCGCTAGATGGCACCACGCATGGCGTGCAGTGCCGGCCCCTACAGGACAGGGTGTGTGGGTGCCGGCCGAAGGATGAGGTTACTCGAGGCCATGGCACTCAGGTTGACCCGGGAGGACACGTAACCAGTTAAGTCTAAAAAGGGGCCCCAGAGGGGGCTAGGGGTGGTCACGTGATTGGGATCCAGATCCTTCCCGAGGATTCTGGAAGGTGGACGTGGCCAAGGGCGAAGCCGGCCACGCCACAGAGAATATAAGCCGGGTCCCGGGGTCCCGAGAGAGAGGCCAGGGTTGTTTGTTCATCCTGGAAGAAACCTTCGTCTACGTTCTCCGTTCAACGAGTCTCCAACACGTGGACCTGGGCCGAAGCTGTTGGTCCCGGTCCATAGTGTCAGTTACGTAGTGACTAG